CCATGCAAAAAACAAGCGGTCACTTACAAGTTGAACTACCTACCTAGTTGGGTAGTGGACTGGTAACTCATCTATTATGTCCCAAACTTTTCATCACTACACCACAGCAAATCTATTATACTTTGCACCTCTTTTTTCCTACAACCTCCTCGAAAACTGGGAGATTCCAGACAAAAAGAAACTTTCTCATTTCTCAGGTAAGAAAGCCCTCCAGATTTCTACAAGATGGAACCTTCTTCTGTGTGGTACGACTAAATCACTATTACCGTCAACCCATGAAAAATGTTTAGGATCTTCATTTGGTTGGCCCTGCTACTCTCTAATGGTACCTACTTCCCATGAAAATGATCAAAGGTAAAAATCGGAAAGGTAAAAGTAATACTAACTCGATTCGGTTGAATCACTAAAAAATAGCTAGTCATTTTTTTCTTCCCTTAAGTTTTACTCGCCGCAGCGGTAAAAACTGCAACAGATAGACTGTCAACGCTTTGCACTCGAAGACAGATGCAGTTTGTTCCCAAAGTTTAAAAAAAACTAAGTATAGTTGCAGAGTTCAGTGAAGGCTTCATTGGTTTCGCAATTATTTTCAGGAGAATACGTCAAAAGCTGAGCTGCACCGGTCTGGTCTACCCAGAAGAGCGTTCTCCAAGTTACACATACCTTGGCGGTTTTCATCGTCGAACCACCAACCCGTTTCCGAGGCATCACGTAGTCAGAGTTCTGAAATAAAGGCATATGAGTCAATACCACTTGACTACAGATAGAAAACCATGTAGAAAAGAAGACAGGTAAGAGTTCAAATGGAAAACTCAGGCTTAAGGAGTTCAAAGGGGAATTACTGGTTTGTAAAGATTCAAAGTGGCAGTCTTAACCAGTTTGGGAAAAAATTTACTGCTAAAGGCTAAGGGTATCGATATCTACCAGAACTTTCAGCAGTGAAAAAATGATCAAGTTTTTTTGCATATTAAAAAAATCAGATGGTATCTATGAAAAAATAAATCTTTGATCAGTATTGTATCAACGCGAGACTTCTCAAATGTCCCATGCGATTTCCCAAGACGTAGCGCTGACAGGATTCCTATGAACACCTTTTCCCTGGTTAACTTATACAATAAATTTTTTGAGGTGCAAAATTTTGTCTTTTACATCGCCCTCAACATAGGTAGGATCGCCAGAGAGCTGTCCCGTCCCATAGAATCATTTCATCTTTTTTTTCTTTTTTTCTTTTTCTTCTCTTTTTCTTAAAAGAGCCTTTCTCTTCTCGGAATTCGAAACTTTTTTGAGTTTTTTTTTNTTTTTTTTTCAGAAAAAAAAGTTGCTTACCACCCTCGGTTTCGACTCAGACGACGTCGTACCGGCAGCCGTCTGAAGCGCCGCAATATGTTGCGATTGTAACGCAGCCACTTGTGATTGTAAGAGTGACTGAAAGAAATAAGTAGAAACTTTCTGAACTGCAGGGGGTAAATATTAAAAATTTAAAAATAAAGATTCAAATTGTCCGAATTCGAAAATCACTATTTGATAAGATTCATACCTGAAAGTGCGGTGATTGCAATTGCGACGCAAAAGCGGCGAACGCCGACGGAAACGAGGAGAACGAGCCCGGCTGCGGCAATTGCAGCATTTTCAGCCTGAATGACAGGTCAACAAGGATACTGTAAAATTTGACGGAACGTATTTATATAGAGAAACAGTCGCAAACTATAAGCAGTAAACAAAAACACCAGCTCAGAAGACACGGCAGTCTCAATGGTAGCGATAGATAGCGGTAAGGTAATAGTAAGACAGCTTTCTCGAGGTTGTTCCCGAACCGTCACCCGAAGTGGGAAGGCACCTTTGAAAGGAATTCTTCTGAAGAGGACCCTGAGGTTGACGAAGTGAACGGCTAAAAGACATCTTGGGATGCCCGGAAGGTAAGAGGTAGCCTCTTGATGGCCTTCGGAGTTACCAAACTCCTAAGGCCACTAAGAGGCATCCAGTAACCTACTGTTCAAGAAGTCGAAGACGAACACTGGATATGTGGAATGGATCAACTACGTCATGATAAAATGTTATGTACCAATGGACACAGTCATGTGCCACAGTCACACGCTGGACGTTCGCTGCGGGACCGCCGTTCATTTCTTTCGAAGAGAATCGAATGAAGAACAATAAAATGAGCCGTGTTGCGAATTAGAGCGAATCACTGTGGTCCATAAGTCATGTGGGCCAGTCAGCCATCAAGCAGCCGTCCCGTCTCAAATGGTCTTAAAGGGGATTGTTTACTCCGAACGGTATACGGTAAGCGTACGAATTAACATATTAGATGGACAATACCACGCCGCCGATGCGGTAGTGCTGAAATCACTAGAGGATAGCTGGACTGATGGGCAGACAAACCAGCCATCCGTCTGCCTGTTTGTCTGTCCATCTGATGGTCGACCTCCTCCCGAACGAAGTGAACGTGATGGTTACATAGCCTAGATTTGACTCGTTCACCTCGCTCGAACATATTGGTCAACACACGGAAACGAGGTTCAAATTGTCTTGTACACCCACTTGAAGGAGCAGACGTCGATTCCGGTAATCGAGGAGTCAAGAGTAAGGTGAAAGCGAAACGATTCCGCTGAAGGAGGTGACCGGATCAGCGGTGACACTGGGAAGAATTGAGTGCTTTGTAGGAAAGGAGGGTAAAGGAGTAACCATGAACTTTTGTTAGTATTTTTACACTGTTAACTTGAAGAATGTTGTGTCACTTGGAAGCCAAGACTGATGTGTTACAATGAATACTAGGACGGCTAGCTCCTTATGTAACTTTAGACAGAGCCTCACTTGATGCAGAAGGCAAATGGGAACAGAGAGGTCAGGGGAACTGTTCTTCAGAAACACCTGTTCATGCCCAGAGAGAAGGGCTTTTTCTCCTAAGAATTCCCTGACCTTGATGGAACGTAGTATGCAGTCCCTTTCAGATAGGACGGATCTTGAAAAGGATTAGCGAAAGGTGAGTGGTGAGCGAGTCAAGAGTGCGATGAGGAATGGACAGTGAAGCGGAACGGATTAAGGCCCCAGCACCACAATCCGGGACGAATTTCGTGAACGAAACGGATGAGATAATGCTTGGTGAAGAAATAGTAATGAATGTTGTTAAGCTGAACTCGACTCGGAATTGCAGTAGTCGAGCTATAAGTAGTAAAATCCACTCAGGGTGAAGAAAGTTCATGGCAACTGCGTCCCCTCAGGATTGGCCCTCAGGAGAAAAAGAGTCACTGTTTTCGGAAGGAACCGGAAGCCGGAAGAGGAAGTTCGAAAAAACTGCCAGGAAGTCACGAGAACCACGCGACATGAAAGAAACACTGAGGTCATCATGTCCGACGAGTCATCAGCAAAGCCCCACAGGGCGGGGCAAGCGACACGATGGCATCGGTGGATGGCCGACTGACGACGACGAAAGGACTACTGTCGTCGTATTACGCTATTGTGTTGGTCAATCGTGTGTGGGAGGAGCCAAAGGCAATAGGCGACCAAGGTGGGATGGCCAAAGAAGGCGGGGTTTGGCGGCGAGCTGAGCGCACCAGCCATAGAACTATGGGCCGAAGCGAGGCGAAACGAGTTCGAGATGAACGCCTGAAAGCCGCCGTCCGTCGGCAGATGTCGCAGCGGGCAGCCGACCAGTTGCTTGTAACAAGACGAAGCACACGAGGCTTCAACCACGCACCAGACCGTGGCCACCAACATCGTCCAGACCCGCCGGGGCCTTGACGCGCTGGGGGTGAGGCCGAAACGGGTTTTCTGCCGAGCAGGTCAGCATCTATGCGAAAAAGATGATGACGACCAGTGGCTAAGCAACAACGTACTAAGCTATGATCCCTACAGAAACACAAGTTTTGAGGGGATAAGCGCGATCAGGAACTTAGTGAACCAACTGAGCTTCTGGCTGGGCTGAATCTTGATGAAGGAGTAAGACAGCTCAATCAGATAAAGTCATCCCTTGCTTCTAGCCTCATTTAACTGTAGAGTGGGGGTAATTGAAAGCGGCATTGTGCCGACGAGGTATCCATTTCCTAAGAAATGACCAAAAACCTTTGGGGAAGGAATCTCATCCAGAACAGAGTAAGGCCTCAAAAAAGACATTTGGTCATCGTTGGTCAAGCCAGCTTCGAGCAAACGACGTATCTGACTTCCATCTAGGTAGGTGCATGCACTCTCGATGTTGGCTGATGTGTCGTGCGATTCTCGTTCCCCATGAACGAACCCCTCGTGCCGAGACCTTGAACGGTTTTTTTCTAACTGTCGTGATTCTTTCTTCTTCTTCACCCGAGACTAAGCACAAGATTTTTATGACTCGTTCGGGAAAAGTGTGAAGGTTAGACGCTGAAAGCGAAACAAAGCGTAGGGAAAAGAACGGAATACGCTGTAAGGGTAGCGCAATGGAGGAGAGTCCCAAAATTTCAGGTGAAACTCGATGGCTTCATTCAGGGGAAAAACTTCTGAATAGTCCACCTTTCGGGGATCAGGTAATCACCGCATTGTTGACGTTGACAGTAAAGAGGTACTACAAAGTAATTTGAACAGGTGTTGCCTTTCAGTAGGGAATAGCCGATAACTCCCAAATTCAGCCATGCCGACAAGAGCCATCCACGGATTGTTACCAAACGGCTTCATCTTCTTCTATTTCTACACGAATCATACGTCAGCGACTTTTTCTCGATTATTCATTATGGATGATCTGACGATCTGGCAATGTCCACCACGTCTTCCCCCTGGTTTCGTCAAGGTCGAGCAACAAGTGTTTGCCACTGGTTTCCCCCTACTGTCCGCCCTTCTGGGCATCCAGATATCATCGCCATTAACACGACTCACAGTTTGTTTCTCTCTGACCAGCTAAAAGAAACATGGATGGCGTGCGGGCGCGCTCTTAGAGGACGAGGTGGACCAGGGGGGAAGCGCAAGCGGGCGGGGGGCAGGTTAGAGAACTGGATATGAGCCGCCGGCCGACGCATGTATCTCGCACGCAAAAGCATTGCGCAACTAGGCACCACTCGTCACCGAAGTGACCATGAGCAGAGAAGCGCACCGGCGGCGACGATCTGGTTGGCGCTACGTCGAATTGAGGGACCAGCGAGCGCAAGACGAGAGGAACTGTGACAGGGGATCTCGAACTCGGTCTGGAAACGCATCCCACTGTGATTTCTTTGGGGAGCCCCATGCTTAGTGAGGCTCTCTGTAGAACACCGAACAAAACCGGTGTGAGCTATGGATTAGCATTAATAATTCATTCTTCCGCTCATAAGAAGTGCTAGAAGAGATCGTAATTTGAAGCCGACAGAGAGGAGGATTCGATCTATTGGTATAGCTCAGAAGGGGAAACAGAAAAGAAGCGCTAATTCATTTCAATTCATATTCTATAGAGTGGAAATAATTCAGAATGCTTTTCTGAGATGAACTTTCGGGTAGTTCCTGATTTCCCGTCGTTTGTAATGGTCCTAATGCTTCTCCAATACGGATTATTCATGAGCATCCCCACTCGTCAGAATGCTTTCCTGAGATGAACTTTCGGGTAGTTCCTGATTTCCCGTCGTTTGTAATGGTCCTAATGCTTCTCCAATACGGATTATTCATGAGCATCCCCACTCGTAAAACCCGAATTTAAACGATTCAAATCTCTCGCAGTCACCTTTCTCAAACTAACATCAACTCTAATTTGTTGACGAAAGTACCTCGATTCTCTTTTTTTTATCTACCTAGTTAGTTGCCAGTTAAACAATTACTTTGCTTCTACATTGGTGTCCGGGCATACTGATGGTGAGGCCCTGAGATTCGGATATGTCCCGGGAACGTACCAGGGGTTTGGTAGAGGAAGGAATCGTTTTCGTGTTAGTGGCTGAGGTCGTTCCCTGAACATTGCCGGGTCGCACGGAATTCCTCTCCTTCCGTGGGCAGTTTTCCAATATGTATGGTGCACTTTGGATACAAACTAAATATTTAACGATATAATGATTGATATTGATATAAGCTTTGAGAACAAAAAGAAATCATCTCTCGAGAGTGAGCCATACAAAGTCCAAGAATCGAACTTAAGCATGGCGCAACAATCAATCTTGATCTGATCGAATTATGCAACGCATGTACATATAGGCATGCTTGTGTATGTGTGTGACGCTTACATCGAGTTTCAATTAGATTACGTCCACTATCTGGTGGACTGTATAGAAAGATCGGAGATGGGGAGAGGCTGTCGTTCACAGCAGCAGAGGACAGACGAAAGCCGGAAATTCTCAAGCCAACTTATCCGAACAGATGATCTGTCAGAGCAATGAACGAGGAAGCTGGACAGAGGAAGCAACTGAATAGGGCTGGCTACACAACTAGGGCATATATAGTAAAGATCACATTGTACTATAACTTATCGAAAAGCTCTACTAGTAGTTATGATCACGAAAAATTACTTGCTCACAAGCCTCTTCTTCTCTTGAAGAAATTTCACAGCGTGAATGAAGTAATCAAAGATTGGAGATCAAAGACATTCTAAAAATCTCTATCATGAGTATCCCATCATTATAACTTTTTTTGGCGTTGTTTATTCTATAAACACTCATTGTTTACATCAACCTCACCCCGACGTCAACTGACGCCACAGTTTCTACAGTAAAGTCCCATAAAATTATGTGCGTACACCAGTTCCGAAATTAACTACAACATTCCCCGCTGAGGATTTATGTAGATCAAATGAAACGGAAATTTTTCGAAAAAAAGTGAAATCCCAGAGCTAATTGTTTGATGAGTTAATGAGTCTAATGGAGTTAATGCTATTGGTAAGTGCTGTTATTTTGCAGATGGAAGCGATGCAACAGTCTCACAAGGTTGACGAGTTGATGGCAAAACTTCGGCCCCGGACGGGACCCGAACCCGTACTTGTGCTTTCCGGGCACCGTACTCTTACACTGCCACCCCCTCTGAACCTCCTGTTCTTTTTTGATTTCTAAACTTATCTCTTTCTTACCTTTGAGACGCCTTGAATGAGTAGGCAATGGATCACCATAACTCAACTTCTCTACAGCTGACAGTGTAGCTAGACTTGAAGAAGGAAAGAGAAAAGAACTCTTTCAGATGTATTAAGTTACGGGTATTCTTTCTTTAAAGGTAAAGGTTATTTCTTTCTAAGTATCCTGGCATCCACAACTTGTTTATTAAGTTCAAAAGTAAGTGAGCCGACTAAAACGCAGACAATCAAAAATCTTATTAAACTGAGTTTAAGAATGGAATATTCAAAGGAAATCGGGTAGAAACGAGAAATACGCCCTAATGGAAGTCCAATGAGCAAATGGTAATAGAGTGCAAAATCCCATTTGCCCAACCATAGCTTAAGAATGGCTTGAACTTCTTCTTATGAAGACTTAGTACAGAGAGGTCCCCGTATAGGAGAACATTCTCGATCTTGAGGAGTCGTCGTCGTGGCTACTGCTTTCAGTCGAACGTGACGGTTGACTTCCGCATATTTAATTAGTTCTATCAAGAAAGTTAGTCTTGCTGACGAAGTGACCCTGAGAGTTCCTAGGGTCAGGGCTCAAGTTTTATGAAGTAGATGCAGGAAACGAAGATTATTCCTCTATTAGGCAGAGAATTACTACAATAGGAAAAAAATCTTATTGAGACGGCATGCTCAGGGCGTCGAAGAGCCGGCCCAAAAGCTGGGAAGCTATGTGAGAAGGAAATTAGTAACAAATCCAATCATGGGCCAAAGAACAAGGTAGAACTCCCGAATCACGGGGTTCACGGTGTACGCTGCTGTAATGCTCAGGTGCATCTGAGACGTTCCAGGCAGGGTGAGGTTCAAAAAGTCTTGTCATGAGTGTTCTTGTCGTCTCGTCATGGACGTCAAAGTGAGTGTATATGTGACGAAATGAAGTAGGTCAGGCGAGTTGGCTGGCAAAAACTCGGATACTATGAGGGCGAGAATTGGTTTAATGGCGGATCGAGGGATGCCGAGACTTCTTAGCGACGACGACCAATACATTTCGTCCCGTCGACGAATTTATGACTGCTGTTGACCACAATGAAGCAAAATGCGCAGAACATACACACACCCATCGACATTTAACTATGTCCTGTCCATGAACATATGGAATTTCGTCGTGCACAAAGTGGCCAAAGGACAGTGGTCACATTCGCCTCCTACCATTCTTCTGGAAGGAGGAACCTGAGGGCGATAATATTTTCTTCGAGGTTTCCAGCCAAACTCCATTTCAAATGCAGAACTGAAAGGGACAAGTCCACTACGCCATATTCGCCCTTTCTTTCATTCACTAAAGAACCACCTCTAATGGGCGCCCCCTACCTCTAGGAGGCTTCAGCTCCTGGAAGACAGATTGAGAAAGGAAAGGATAAATCCAGCTGCTGCTTAATTGACGGCACAATAACTGATTATCCTTCATTTTGGTCATTGAACTTCAATTTTGGAGTTTTTCAGGTCTTATTTTGATAGGCTTACATGGCCAAGACTAAATCTCCAAACTGTCTTCAAGCCGGCAACTGTTCAACCGACTATGGAGTTCTTGCAATGGTGCTCACTAAGGGTTTTCATGAATGAGAATATGTGAGGGAGCTTGTGAGAAAGCAAGAGAAATGGAATCCTAGCTTAGCTTAGAGCGTTGCAAGAAATCGTCTCGCTCTGCAACTGCCTCTGGTGTTGCCGTGGTTCTCTGAGGGCGACTCTGCCGCGTAATAGACCACTTCTAAAAGAAGTCACACAGGAGAGATTC